GTGGGTGCTGGTACAGAACCAAAGTTATAAAATGTTCGAAATTTATATCAATAAATGATTTTTTAAGACTTTTTAACTCAGCCTCAACTACACTCAGTGAACAGAGGCATCCGTATAACGGCCTTGGTTCGCCATCATTTCATTGCAATCACGAGGCTCCACTCCACCAATTTAGAGGAGGAAAATAAACCTACTTTTTGGATTTATGAAGAATCTGAGTAAACACAGGTACAGCTTCACACATTAAGAGCAGCAGATAGATATACCTTAAATCAAAGGGAGATCTAATACGCTCTTTCAGTGCTTTTTATTTTCTTATTTATCACACTTTATGGTGTTATTTACATTATTAAACACATAAACTGCATAATTCATGATTTTCTTGCATGCCGCCTTACTTAAAACAACACTCCTGAGAATAAATAGAGTCCGGTTGTAGTCAGAGGAAGTGAAATCTATCATGTCTCAGTAAGAAATCCCCCTCCGATGAGGAATATTTAAATAAATCATGAGCTATTAATGAGACGTTTTATTACCATATAAATCCCATCTATGTACCTTTTGACAGTATCTTTGTATATATCCTACATCCAACCATTAATCTGTGTATCTATGTATCTGTCCATGCTTTTATTCATCCATGAATTTTTATTGCTTCTCCCACATCGTTTTATCCCTACAGATTATTTTAGTTTATCATATTTTACAGCCTTAAATTATCTTGCACATCTTTCTGACAACACAAGCACACTAGAATCTGGAAAACTCTACAGCCTCTGTTTGATGTGCAGTATAACAAGATGTTGGACTGCGTCTTGGCAAAGCTTTTTCCGACATTGAGCGTATAAAAATTTCTAACATTTTTATGCACAACCTCTAAAGGAATAGTGAAGGCTGCATATTCAAACAAACACAGCAGCACTTGAAAGAGAGACATCAGACGTGTGTGACGGAAAAATTCATGAATGATTTTTTTCACAGTGCTCCATGAAACCAAAAACCAAAAAAGTGTCATTATTCAATTCAAAGTCAAACCGACTGAGCACATGAGTCAAACCTGGATTTCAGGTCTAATTAAACAAATATACTATGACTAAAAGACTGGACAAACTTTCCCTCTCTTTGGCCAAGGTGGTACTACCTCAATTTGCTTCACCTCTTGGCTCCGCCCCTGTGGCTGCTTGTCTTGAAAAAAGTGGAAATTTCCAGTAATTCCTGCTGCTTTGCAAGAAACGCTCCTCCTCCCTCTAGTTTCCCGCCTTTCACTTCTTACCTTCTCAACTGCAGCTGCACAGTCTTTAAAGGCCTCATGGCTCTCTGCTGCTGCTGCTGCTGCATTTAGGGTTTTACCTTTGCATGAAGAAATCATTCTCTCCCACATTTCTTGCATAACTACGGGTGTTAAACCTTCAATACTGGCACTCAATCATGATCCTTGCATTGCAAATGTAAAAGGTTGAAGTGTGCTTGATTGATATTGCAGCCAGATTAAAGATTATATGTACTTTTATTAAATCTAATTTGCATTTTAGATCGTAAGAGTGCATCCTCAACAGTTTCTTAGTGTATTGTTTTTAAAGCTTAGCATAGCTAACTAACTATGAAGGGTTAAGCTATGTGTTGCTATTACATTAGCTCTTGAATGATGAACAAGCGTTGGTTTGGGATCACAGAACAGATGGTGGATTTGCATTTCTATTTCTCTGGCTGATCTGATATTCTGGTGTGTGGATGGGTTTGGAGATATCAAAGCTTGTCTACAACTGACACATCAGAGACTCCAAAAAAAAAAAAAAAAAGATATGATTAGAGCTTTCAGGGATTACAAAGAAGCCTAGGTGTGGCTCAGATATGGAAAAGGAGATGCTTTCTGTTATCATGTTTACAGTTTAGCCAAGGTTATCTCTTTGGCTCATCTGTGGTTTTATAACTTCCTCTTAATACAAGAGCACAACGTAACCGTGTGCGTATAAGCAGCTCTCATGCTTGACAGACAAACTACTGATAAAGCCACAAGACAGCTGGAGAGGAGAAGTTTGAGTGCGCGTGAGGCACATTGACCTTAGATTCATTGTGAAGCACCAACAAAGAGCCATCTGCACAGCAACCACAGCTGAGATGAGGGACACACACGGGGCGGCAGCAGAGGGGGAGGGACACGGGGATCTGGAGAGTGTACACACAAGACAATACAGACATATCATAAAGAAACATTTCAATCATTGTGTAGAAAACACTGAGGCTGTAAGTGTTGGTATCTCTGAGCTTTCTGCACAAAGAAAATTAGCAGCTGCGCTGTGCGTGGATCTCTCCACTGCTGGTTAAGTGGTAGACAAGAGCTGCTGGCCTAATCACTCAAGAGCACATTTCCTGCCTTCTGCGTGTTGAGATGAAGTGAACCGGATCTGTTCAAGGCTAATATTTAACTCTGGATCACAAACATGTAGGGTATCTCAAGCATTCATCCATTCTGCACTGATCCAAACTGTTAATATACACTGATAAAAAAAAAAATCAACAGTGTGAAGGTTTTTTTAAACGCAACAACAACAGCTCTCGTTTTTTTCCTCCATATGGAATATGTTGCTCTGCAATGTGGTGAAAACAAAGACAAAATGGTGTCAGGGACATCTGTAAAAATCACAAATCTTTTTCACAGGTAAGACATGAGAGTCAGGATTGCTTAGCAACAGCAGTAAAAAATTCTTGCAGCCTGTGTGGTAACAGTGGAACTTCTCCTGCTGCCACCATGTGGAGGACTGGCAGAACAAACTACAGGTTAAACCAAGCACTAAAAAAGAGCAAAAGCTTACTTCTCTTAAGTAGTCAGATAAACAAACCCAAACAAGCTACAAGGCGATAACCCCGTTATTAAAGGGAAACTCCATTATTCATAAAAACAGCACACCAGGATAATCTCTTTCCTATCTCAACTCTGTTTGAAAATGTGTCCAGAAATTTGATTGGCCGGAAAAATGCACCAGCTCTCATGGCAGGTGGTTGCTAAGCAACACGTATGGGAGGGAGAGTAGGAAAGGGTGGGAGGGTGTGAGTGTTAGGGAGAGGAGGTGGGGCGCTTCGTCGAGGGGATGGAGCATTCTGGGTGCAGGCAGACTGACTGGGGAAATACCTGGCATCATTCCCAAATAAACAAACCAAGGGGGGAGTTTTCAGATAACAGACTTGTCTTGAAATACAGAAGACAAGGCATTTTACAGTTTTTTCAACAGTAGAACAAGAGACAGGGATTTAAGTCAAGAGAATTTGGAGGGAAAGTACAACATGACTTTATCTCTGTGTCAGCTTGAAACAAAAATGACTCCAGCATCATTTTTTTTTTGAGGAAATGACATAAAAGTAGGAAAAAAACAACATGCTCTGTCTAGAAGGGGGTGGGCTTGGACAATTTGAAACATCCGACAGTCTCAACCTTACCTGTGCTAGCATGTTTCTGCTTGCACAGCCAGGTGTGTGTGGGTGTTTCCAAGCAACTGCTTAGGTTTGCTTTCTAACAAGGAAAAGTAAAATGCAACAATCTCATTAGCTCGGGATTCGCACAAAAAACATACAAAGGCAAAGAGATTACAAGGTGTGGAGCAGAAGGTGTGCTGTAATTTAGGGGAAAAGGAGCAGAAAAGGTGGAAAATGTGCTTATATGGAGAGGAGGAGTAAATAAGAGCCGGGTTGCAGAAGAAGGTGGGCCTTAGCAATGGCCGATGCGGGCGGTCTCTACAGGCAATGAGGCCTCTTTGTCGGGAGTAGGAAATGAGGTTTGTGTTGTGATTAAAAGGAAGGTTTCTATGGCAATGCAGAGAGCCGTGTGCACACAGAATTTGTTGGAGGGGGGGGTTAAAGTGAGAGTAGAATTTCAAAGAAAGCAGCCTCCTCCATCTCATCTCCCTCCACTGCCACCCCTCTACTTTTTTCACAGCGCCCTTTTATCTCTGATAATCTGTTTTCATAGTCGCACAGTTGAGACTGGAGCAGGGATTACCCAGAGCAAAGCGAGTCCCTGGTCGTAAATGTTTACAGTGTAGCGGTTTCACTTCCTGAAATCACTGCTGTCAAGACCTCGAAACCTTGACCAGATTATTGAACTAAATACCTCAAACTAGATAACCAACAATGATCTTAATGTGTCAATAGACTGGATCACTCTAACCAATTGGTCCTCTTTCTCATGATTAAAAAATAAAAGTATGATGGCATCAGTGTGACCTTTAAAGCCTATATTTAGACTGGCTTTGTTAATTGTTTCACTTTGGGAAAAAAAAAAGTGTCTTAAAATAATTTCTCCACCCAGGATTTCTCCTTTGTGCAGAGGAAGTTGCTGTCTGCATCAGTGGCTGCCATCTTTACCCCACACATGCTCCCTCCAGGATGTTTAAGTTAGATGACTTATTAAACTCAAAGTAAAGTTTTGTTTTGTCCCTACAATGTACAATCTATAAAAAGACACTGCTGCACACTGAGATAATATGATCTGCTTTACTAAGAGCTGAGGTAAAGAAGTGGGTATGAGAAGAAAAGTGGTTGAATGGTAAGGATAGAAAACTTAAAAACAGGGATTTCGCAGAAGAAATCCACACAAATGACTTTGATTTACCAAATTACATCTGAACATTCATTGTTATTCCAACCACAAATATGTGTTGAAAATCAGTGGTTACAGTGCAGCCCTGAAAGCCTCTCACCTCCTTTTTTGGGAAACTGTATCAAGGTCTCAGCATGCCAATTACGATTACTAAAGCTTCTGCTGCCCCCAACCTTTTCTATTGAGCATAGCAGCAAGTATCATGTAATAAAGCGCTGCCAGAGAGGGGCGGCTGCACTCAGGCCAGACTGTGTAGTTAAAGCCAGATGGCAAACCACACTTCAAAAGGACAGCTGGTTGCCAGAGTCTGAAATAGCATCTTTATAGCTCAAAACCTAATTAGTAAAAAAAAAAATTAGTACAATACACAAGCTATGAAGATGATTCATCACAAAAGAGGCATTCAAACAACACAATCAAGCTTTACATCTGTGCATCTGCAGACTACAACATTTTAAAACTGCCAATCAATGTAATTTGATGAGTGGTCATGGCCCCCGTATCACAGTAATCAATGAAATCAGGCCTTTCAATGTCAGACTGAGTGTCTCATTTCAGTGTGAATGTCAACTCCAGCACAGGTCAGTGGTCTGGATCAGTGCCCCGTCCAGTGGGCTTAGTCCCCAGTCAGATCTTTGTGGCTTTGGCTGCAGCCTGCCGATGGGAACTTTCTTTCTGCTGAACCTGTCAACCACATCGAAGAAGGAATTGGGTCTTAAAAGTTGATCACCAAGTATGATTATTTATTCGGAACAGCACTGACCCTTTTCATTATCCGTCTGCGAAGTTCCCCCTGTGAAAGCGGTCGCTCCTCCTCATCTGTGACCGGAGACTCATCGTACTCCAAACTGAGAAGTCCAAACAACACAAAAATATGATTACACCCACAAAGTATGTAACGATGACCAATATCTTAAAAGTAGGTTTCAAAATGGATTAACAGCAGACCCACCTGTCAATTGCAGGTTGGATGCTTATATTCTGCTGAAGCAGTTCTGGATTTTGACCCAAAAGAAATTTAGCAAGGTCTTTTGGATTGTAGTCTTTTTCCAGATCCTAAGTTTTAGAAAGAGAAACACAGTTTGTGTGAAGAAAAAGGGGAATTTTTGTTGAATATTCAAATATAAGACATTAGCATAGGTCACCTTAGAGTTGAGGAACGCTTGTATAGTAAGTAACTCATTGGTCTTCTGCTCCACCAAACCCAAGTAGGACATTATATTGTTCTCACTGATCCCTGCAGAGGAGCCGAGTTTATCCTCGATCACTGAGCGGTCACAGTCTATTTTTGAGACGATGCTGTTCACTTCTGTGGGAAATGAAAGTCAGAAGTTCACTTCACTGCTTCCTTTTTTTGTGTGTGATGTTCTAGTTGAGGCTGTCATATGTAAACACTTAGATTAAAAATATAAATTTAAGAAAAATCAGCTCGCACAGTTCTGCTATTCCCTGTGACTTTCAGGAGGCATTTTTTTGGATGTGTACTTTGACACAAATCACAGCCAAACCTGTTTTAATCTGGTCCAGGATTTGGCTCAAGATGCTGGCTCGTTGTTCGTAGTCCTCAGCTTGGTACTCGATCTCTTTTCGTTTCTCATCAAAGCCGCGAAGCAGACATTGATGCTCTCGCTCCTGTTGCAAAGCTGTTTCTCCAAATTGCTCAATCTCTGACTGTATCTGCAGGTTCACACATCAGAAAAATAAGTTAACTACATTAACCCTTATTGGTTACTTACCTTTGACTTGCTATAACGATGTTAAATAAACCTCTCTCTAAAATTTACTAAAAGTTGCTGAACACTTTGATTTAAGATGTTTCAATACCGGTTTATTGTTGTCTTTAAGCACTGAAATCTAATTTGCCCCACCACATCATAAGTAGGAGTAGAAAAAAAGCTCACCTGGCTAATTTGATCCCTCAGAACCTCAGCCTCATTGTTTTGCTCATTTACAAAATTAAAGAGTGCGAAGTTCCGGTCCTCAACTACAAAGCAAAACACAAGTGAGACAAAAAGACATCATTTTCTCTGATTTTTCTTGATTTTCTAATAATAACAGCAGTTATATGATTAACACATGCTCAAACAAATCCTGTTACAATCTATGAAAAATGAACTCCCCAAACCAAAGGTTTTGTTTTTTGTGTAGAGGTGAGTGTGAAAGAAATGTGTTTTAAGACCCACCTTGGATGAATCTCGAGACCAGCAAGTCCAGGTTGTCCTCCCCCGTCACAGTCTTGATCTTCTCAAACACCTCCTCCAGAGCATCCCGTGACTCTTCTCCGGAGTCCATCCTCCTCTGCACCTTTGGTGCTGACACTGGAGGAAACATCAAACAGATCAGAATCATCACAGCAGACATGTATCCTCCTTTTTGCGCAGAGTTTCACACTTAAGTTTTTTTTTTTTTTTGCAGTCAAATTAAATGAGATGTATACTGAATGTACAAGTCTTGGTGTAAAAGCAGAGGATTTAAAAGAATCCAACAATCACCTTAAAGAGATAGATCAGTTTTCTCTAAGTGGAATTGCATGAGGTACATGTCAACAGTAAGTGCTGACCCTGTCTGCAGCAGCTGATACCCAATATCAACAAAGGACAAAGGGACCTAAGTGATTGACATCCCCTGGGTAATGCACTGTCTACTGGAAAGTCCCTTACACAACCCCCCTTAAAAAAGAACAATAACATAACTATTTCTTTAATATGGCTACAGAGGACTTTCAGTAATGTCCTTTTAACCTTTTAATGAGGCCCTTTATATATTTGCTGCATTAAGAGCAAATGAGATTCATTTTTCTGGGCTGTGCTTATGTGATTTATCGTTGGCTAATGTTCCCCAGAGTGCTCACAAAATTTGACTATGAATATGAATGTAGTATAGATACGCAGCAACAATATATGCTCAAACACTAGAGGTCTTACATTGTCTGTGTCCAGTCTCATGGCCCTCATCATGTCCTCTCTTCTCGCTGCACTTGGTGGTCATAAACTCTTTCAGGCTGAACTCATGTGCGATAACCCTCTCCAGTTCCTTCATCTCAGCGTTATACTGGGTGAGATCCTTCTCTGCCTTCTCCTTCATCATGGTCATTTTGGACTGAGCCTCCACCCTGGAGTAAAGAGTGTAATTCTTAAAATAGCCAAGATTATAGGACATAACATTACTCTACAAAACTGTCTCAGGTCTGACCTAGCATCATAAGCAGCAGTGGACTGGGTGACAACTTCCCCAATCTTCTTACGGAGATTGTGAAGCTCCTGCAATACAAGAATCAGAGAACGATGACACCACAGTAAAAATGTATAATACACAACAAGATCTATAGTATGACCTCTGACCTTTTCCAGCCTGTTTTTAAGTTGCTGGAAACGGGCACGCTCAATTTGAAGAGTCTGCAGCTCCTCTCGCAGGTGGCTGTTGTTGTTTAGCTGCTCGTTGAAGCGGGTTAAAGCCTAGACCAGACACAAAAGACACAGACTTGCAGGTGTGCACAACTGTTTTTTTTTCTTGTAGTACTCAGTTTTGGTACTCACCCTGTCCAATCTGTATTCCAAAGTGCGTATAGCTTTCTGTGATTGCTGAACCTCATTTCGTTGTGCAGTACCAGCACTGACTTTGCATTTTCGCACCTCTGCCATCTTCAACTCCATGCTTGATATCTGCCCACATTATAGCCACAATATACAACAAAATCATTAGTAGAAATAAGGAATCTTGAATTGATTTCACACAGAGTAAAAATTTATTTATGAACCTCTTTCTCGACTTCATTTTGACAAATCTTCTCCTTTCTCAGCTCCTCCTCCAGCATGTCCCTCTGCCCTAGCAGAGCTTGAAGACTCTGGGCATCCTCGCTCTCCTGTTGTTGGCGTGACAAGCTCTTACACAACCCAAGGTTTCGATGCAGTTCCTCCTGCTCCGTCTGCAGCTTCTCTATCTCCTGTCTTCACCCACATAAACATCCACCCAGGCAAATTAAAACAACATACTTTGGTTTAACTTTGTGGTGTATTGCTGTTGTGCATACTCACTTTTGTTTGCGGATCTGTTCCTGGGCCTGAATACTGTACGCCTGCCGATCTCCTTCCATGATTTTGAATTGTCTCTGCAGTTTGGCCATCTCTGATTCTACATAAATAAAGACACCATATGGATGTTAAAAATGCCTCACCTCTGTGACTGGCTAAACAAGATTACTTAACCAAGACTTCATATCTTATAACAGAAACATGTCCAACATTACCAGTGCCATCAGCATCCATTTCACTTGTGTATGAGCGGGCACTTGTAGCAGATCTTCCCCTCGGCATGGCTTGAATGGTCTTTAATGGGTATAAATAAAAAGTAATTCCATGCTGTTCACAGAAAATATTACATTAGTATATGCAAGAATGTCCTTGTGGATGACCTTTGAGTTAAATAAAACTTTGACATATCATACTAAACAGTACATCACAAAAGGATACAACACAATATGATACAACATAATTAGTTGTCCCCCTGGGGAAATTTATCTTGGACTCAAGTACTGGAAATCCTGCTGGATATGTTCCACTTGCATTAAGACCACAAACAATACAGTACATTTCCCATATCATATAAAAGGAGCAGCACTTATTTGGTTCCATATTCAGCTTTCAAACCTGTGTATAATCTCAAACATTTCCAACACTTAGATAAGATAAAATGCCTTTAGTCTTAGGATAAAAAAAGTAGTTTATAACCCTTTTAAGTCACTTGCTTTCTCTTACTGATGGCTGAATTTTGCTCCTCCTTTAGGTGTAATGATGTTAATTCCCACTTCTCATAATATTCTTCACAACTAATCTTTACATGCGCACTTCCACTGCGTATTACAGCAAGAAAGTTATGATGGTACTGTTGGTTTTAACAACAACAACAACAACAAGTTACTAAGTGTTTTGACATAAAGTCAGAAAGCACATGGAAAAAGACAGATGAAAAACAGAATTAAAGGCCATTTTCATGTCATAAGGAACCCAGACAATACAAGAACCATGCAACATAAAATGAGACCATGAGGACAAAAATAAAAACATAAAGTAGTTAATATAAAAGAAAATGTAATTCATAAAATAATAACAGGTAATACTGATAATAATAGTAATGAGAAAATAGAGCAACAGAAATTAGCAAGAGATTAATTAAGAAAAGAGTACAAGTATAACAAAAGCTAAAAAGATAGAGGTAAATGAGATACGAGATGACAGATAAAAGATAAAACCCAAGACATTATGCTTTAGTACAGTTTATGATAAAAACTACCTCGGTTGTTCATTTAACTTACTTAGCCTACTTAGCTTACCCAAACATATTAACGACGATTCTTGCTAGCTAGCTGTTGTTGAAGACCGAAATGTTGAGCTTGACAGTTGTTAGCATGTAAAAGGTTTTAAAAAATGTGTATGCTGTTCAGGACGAATGAGTTTCAACTCACCAGCTGAAAGTTTTACAGTAAAAACAGGTGAAACCTCTCAGGATATACAGCAGACTCACTATAACAGCAGTTGTTAGAAACCGTTGCTATGCATTGACGGGCTTCTGATCCCAGAGTATAGTCTGACAGGCAGGACTAACGTCGACGGTGATTGTTCAGAGATTTTTTTTTTTTTGTCTTTACCGTGTTTTAGACATAAACCTGCCATCTGTTACATAACTTTATTTTCAAACTTCTTCCACCCGAGAAGTTATAACTAAGGGCCGGAGGCTTTTGGCCTGAGGTAACCCGGATGAAACAACCAGGCCACTCCACGCCAAATCAATCCATCCGACATACTGACCTGTTGTCAAGAAGACCAGCAGAAAAACATCCACTTGCTGTAAAATCTGAGCACGGTGAGTACAGCTGTGTGTATTTTAGTGGTGAAAGTGGTTAATGCGGTAATATTAACGTTTCAAATAACTTTTGTTGGTCTAAAAAAATAAAACACACCTTAGCTTTCCTACCTAACTTTACTCGACAGTCTTCAACTGTAATCAATATGATGAATTTAACGCTACCATCGACGTGGCAGGTTGAAGCACTTTTTGGCAAAATTTTAACTCAAGAAAGGCACAAAACATAGTGTTGTGTCCTTCAGGAACGATTCTTTCAAAAGAACCGAATCTTTTAAGTGAACGCACTGAACCGAATCACTTCCTCGAATGACTCGTTCAGTTGAGGGACCACATGCACCGGCGCCTGAATTACTTTGTGAACGAATCACACATTGAACTACACTCTCTGGAATAATTTTCCAGGGAGTGTAGTAGACAAAACTGCCTTTTTTTTCTTTTATTCCTTGGCTTTTGACCCAACATGAGACGGCATTTGTTTTAATGTTTTTTTTTATTGTTTTATAGCTTTTTATTATGTTTTAAAACAACTATTTATTGTTGTTTTATGTTTTCATATTATATACAGCACTTTGTGTCAGCTTTGTTTGTATTTAAAGAGCTCTATAAATAAAGTTGAGTTGAGTTGAGAGACCTGGTAAATAGCATACCATAGGACAGTACACTTAAAACATCATGACTTATAAACAAGTTCATTTTTACAAACCTGTTTGCCAAAGCAACACAGCCAAACACTCCAAACGTTCAGCTGTGTATCAGTTCAGAAGGTCGGAGTCGCAGGCTTCTCCCACCGAGCACTAAATGATTCAGTGATTTGGTGAACGAATCTTTTGAACGAATCTTTTCAGTGAACTGATTCTAGTGAACCAGTACATCTAAAAGACCTATCGTGCCCATCACTAATAAAACATCACCCAGATTTCCCCCTTTTCCTATGGTGTATTAAAAAATATCTCATTTCAAAAATCAAAGTGACAAGAATCAGCTCTTTGCAGACTTTATTAAGGCGAGTTTGTGCAGAATATAATGCTGTTTCAGTACTTTGTACATTATCAATGTATGTATTTTATACATTTTATGATGACAGATTTTTATCACATTATAATTAAGCTTATTTATATTGTTTTATATATTAAAGCACACCATGGGCTCACCTTATCTGTATGCCATAGTTAGTTAACTGATAAATTACAAACTTTAATATGCAGAAAGAAGTATTACAACTCCTAACAGATTTAAATAAGTTGATCAGTGAGATTTTACAGTAGTCTAATGCTCTGATTCTGGTTCTGGTTGTGGTTCTGGTTCAGGGTTTGGCTGTGGCTCTTCCTGAGCTGGCGTAGGTGGGATACACTCGAGAAAGGTACAGAAGTGGTCGTCTGTATTGAGCTCGGGTTTTCTCAGCAGTAAGTGGCATTTTGGAAAAAAGTAGGCTGCCACCAGTCCGAGGATGCTTGCCAAAGTGAAAGACACGTGTACAATAGACTTACTCTTTGTGTCCAAGCCTATGTAGATTGGAATAAAGGTCACCCAGAACACACAGTAGAGCAGGGAGGAAAAGGTAACGTCTCTGGCAAGGTTGTACTGATGAGGAGGCTTTGCTGCCATGAAGGTGCACATGAATGATGCAAGGGACATTACACAGTTGAGACCTTGCATTACTGCGAATCCACTCATAGGTTCCACTGGACACGCCAGAAAATCTCTAACAAAGTCTATTGTCATATTTGCCCGGTATTCTGAGAGTGAGGGCCCTGCCTGTACGAACCAGCCGCAGATACCAGCCTGCACGGCCCAACACACCAACAGAAACAGCCAGCTTCCAGGGCCTCTGAGCATAGGCAGGTAACGGGCAGCAATCTCTGGGAACTCTGACAGGAAGGCTACCTGTTTGAAAAGAGGGTTAATTATGAAAAACTCTATACAATTTGTCCCATACACCAGCTGTAGTTCATCTGAGGTAGTGGTGTTGAACTGAGTATTGGCTTGACTGTGATTCCATCTCACAGTCATGCTGATATTCAGTACAACAGCGCCACCCGGAGTACAATACTGAGCAGCATGGTTCTCAAGCAGCATGTAGTTGTTAATGGCAGAGTGATACATACTAAAAGTCCTATTGTTGTTGCAATGTTTCAGCACTCATGAAATGCTTCTTGATAATCACACACCTGAATCTGAACTATAAGAAATGCTTCACTAAGTAAAATGGTTCAACCTTTTATCTTTACCTGTAGTGAGATGAACATGATAATGGAGCAAGCAATCGTTTGGAATACGCAGGTGAGGGGCAGCTGAAGACGACACACCACATCACCTGGCTGCCCCAGGAAGAGCAGCAGACAGAGACACGCTGCCATCAGGCTTAGCAAGACCACGAAACTCAGGACTCCCCCTGAGGCCTTCACCATCAAGGTGTCCCGGTGCTTCAGGAAAACTACCACCACTGAACCTTGACATATCAGCAGCAGCGCAACACCGAGTATTATCACCAGAGCCTCGGTGGAGTCCCAGGACAGCACATCAAAGGTGGGTTCAGTGCAGTTAGTGCTGCGGATCAGAGACCACTGACCCTTTGGGCACTTGGTACATTGGATGTCCTCTATTAGTCAGAAAGCACATTGGGAATATGGTTTGAATATCAAACACAACCAAAATCATATCAGACGGTTACTGATAGTATTATTTTTGATATTAGTACTACTAACACTCAATCTATTGTAATACTAAACAAAAAAGAGCTGTAATAAATTACTGTAAGTAACCAAAAACTGCAATCCAACAATACTAACTTAGTCTCAAAACGTAAGTTTTTATAATTACTGGCATTAAAAAACTTTATAAGGAAGTTACTGTTACTTTAATAAAATGTGGCAACCAAAACAAGAGCTGATTGTGAACATAAACTTGATAAATAGTCCCATTCATAAAGAAGTATAGGCCATGCACTATATTTGTTTATTGAAATCAGCCCAAGTGTTGGTAATTTTCAAGGGCATATACCAAAATAGGACCAGAGGCATCAATTAATCGAAGTTTATTATCCGCAAAAATAGTTTAAAGGGTTAGTTTGACATTTTGTTAAGATGCTTATCTGCTGTCTTGCAAAAAGTCAATTGACTTACAAGGATGATACTCAATGGTTGCCTCGAGAGACAGCAAGTAAATGTTTTCTTGAAAATTTTGCACTTCTCCTTTAAAGTCAGGACTGATATTTTGAAAGCGCTTGTGTGAAAATATTACCTTCATTTGCTTGGTAGGTGCCAGGCATACAGTTGATACAATCAAAACAGCAGGAGTGGAAGCCTTTCACTCTCCGAACCTGTCCTTTCTCACATGCTGCTGAACAGGTGGACTCAGGAACCTGCCAAAGCCGAGACATCATAGTTAAAGATCCTGTATTCAACACCTTTGTGTGAATTATGTGGCATATTTGTTTGAAATTTGAGATCATATAGATCCATTTTACCTCATTGTTTGGAGTGTGCCATTCAAATAGGGATTTGTTCATAAACAGTTGTTTGTAAAAGGTTCCAATTTTCTTGAATTCCAAATCTGTGTCGTTCCACACCCACTGGAGCATATTGTAACCGATGTTTGGATTACCGTCACTGTCAAACACCACACTTGTGCCATTTATTTCTACAGATGTTCTTTTTAAAACCTGAAATAGCTGTAAAAAAGATTTTAAGAACAATTTATTTCCTGTGTTATAAATAATATTCCTTTAAAATAGTATCTTATTGTCTTAAAATTATCACCTTCCAAGGATAGATTTTGGTTTCTGGTCCTTTCATGCAGGCAGTTGCGTTGCATCCCAGCAGATTGTGCAGTGCCTGTGCCGCGCTGTAGACAGCAGCATACACTCCGAATGCTGAGCGCTTCACTACAGGGTCCTCCACCAGGCTGATATTAGCAGCTGTCAAGGTCCAGCATTGTGGGCAGGGGTTATCAGGGTTTCCATACTTTGGTGGTGGTGTTTGTTGAGGCGTGTTCGCCCTCTCCTCGCTCATTCTGGTGAAGACCTCTGTCATGTAGGGAGTTAGCATATCCAAGGTCTGCATGTTGTCAGTGAATCCAATGATTGTACCGACTGACTGGATGTTCGGAAGGGTAGTCAGGAGGTAGTGGATGGACCAACTCGTGCTGGCAATCCACACACCAGTCAAGTTTCTTCTGATCACCTGGAAAAGTGAGGATTGATGAAAACAAGATATTTTTTCCACAAATAACCTCCTTTTCTTCTATGAAACCGTTCTCTGCTTCACTTACCTCTTTGAATAAAGTCTCTGCAGGCTTTGGGAGTGCAAATAACACCACCACCTTGACGCTGGCTGCTACGATGTTGTCAATGATGGTTAAGACGGCCGGCCCAGGGTCAGTGTACACAGGAATCAGAGCCTGATAGGCCACACAGACAGACTTGTTTTCTGCTATTTTGGAGAACTCCTGCACCCCTCCTTGTCCGTACTCCTCCTCACTGCCTACAATGGCCACCCAGTTCCATTTGAACTCATTTAGGAGGAGCACGATGGCCTCCACCTGCCATTTGTCACTGGGTACCGTGCGAAAGAAAGATGGGTAGAGTTCCTTGTCGCTGAATTTGTCACTGGTGGCCCCGTAGCTGATCTGTAGTGAGGAGAGTCATTCTTACTACATTAAGTTATTAGCACTGGAACGGAATGCTTGTGTGCATTTACTGTTTTTGAGTTTCTCCATGAGGGACACTGTGGATAAGGATGTTGGGCTTAACATGAGAGTTAATTAACAGTATACAATAGTAATATGCATGAGATTCAGGCGTTTACAGAAACATATTGGACATTTCCTTGAGTGATAAAGTGTATTCTACACAGTAGACATGCATGTAGCTCAGGTGATGATATATATCTATAAACATATATACATTAGGGCTGGGCGATATAGCCTCAAATCAATATCACGATACACTGAGCAGTTCAATAACGATAAATCGACGATTACTACTCCACAAGCTGCTCACCCACTCCCACATTTACTTCGTGTACTTTAGCTCCAGCCTCTCCAACTTTTGAACCATCCTCCATCTCCTCACCTATCTTTCCTTTTTTGTTACAGACTGGATGGGGTGGAGTCACGTCTCTGATGTAGGACAGCTTCTTAAAGGGACATGAGACCATAGCCTACCTACACACATCCAAAACCAACTTTTATTTATCTACTTTTTGACACCGAGTATATAGATATGGGCAAAATGGCGGTTGTTTTTGTAAATTTCAGTATGGTAAATTTTCAGTTTATCGCCCAGCCCTATTATATGTATATATGCTAGAGAAAGTATATTTAAGAGGAAAAGTGTCATAGTGCAGGTTATGATTTAAGGAGTAGAATGAGGCATTATTTTTAACCTTAAGGTGTGTTTTCTGTGAAGTTTTGAAAAAACTTTTCATCAAACCTGTGGCATCAGAAAGAACCCCAGCAGTTTTCCTATGATCGACACCATCTCCGAGCTGTAAGGTCCAATCACGGCTGATATGCTAGTCTCGTAGTCGGTGTAGTTACACTCCACAGACAACGCACCGGTAGATTTTTCAGTGAGGAAAGACAGAGTCGGTTTCACCACGACGGCAGATTGTCTGCATGTATCGTAGATTTTAAACCCTAGTGTCCAGCCGGGCAGCAGAATTTGGTTTGCATTGATCTCATCCACTGCGTACTTCATGACTAGAGCAAGGCCCAGTCCGAAATTATTGACACTGTCGACAGAAACAGAAAAAAACAGGTGACAAGCTCTTAAAGTAAGATTATGCAAACTTGATGAATTTTTAACAATAGGATATTTAATTACCTATCACAGCTGATGTTGTGAGGCACTCTCCTCTGTGTCAGGTTGCTGGTGACATCGTTGATGGGGAATAGCCCTCCGAGAATGATGTCCCCTGGCAAGTCAAAGAGATTAGTAGAGACATTTTTGAACCATTCAGGTAAAGTCCCACTATGACTCAATCTGAACGTTAGGCATAAAATCAAAAGAGGGAAAGGTGCAGCCATGTTTCTGAGAAGCTGCAGGGGTAGCTAAAATAAAGAGGACAGCATTAGTTTGCGTCAGTGCAGACACAATCGGAGAAATTGTTGGATGCAAAATCACTCAAAGGATGTTGGTGTGTTTTGCCCCTCCCCTCTCCGGCCACCTGCGTGTGCAATTCTTATTAACTGCAAATCAAGTGAAATTGTCCCTGCAGTATTGACCTACATTTACATTTGCGGCATTAAAAAAAAGATTGTGTATTATTTGTGATATTGCTGTGACTTGGACAACATAAAAGAAGCTGCACTTTGACAGAACTTTAAGGACTGTGGGTCTGATGGTATGAGATGTGAGAGGAAAACCCACTCTGCACAGTCTGTGTGTGTGAGAGTGTGTGTTTGTGGGTGCAGGTGTTCATCCTTCCGGAGAATTTTCCTGACATTTGCTTGTGGTTTGCTCTTTGATTCTCTCTGGTGTAACTTTCTATGATGACATGAGCACATAAGCAAAGTCGGTTCTTCCTTTCCGTTTGTCCTGAGTTGTTATTACAGTAAAAACCTCGTGTTCACCACTTTGCAAATGTTTGTTTTATGTTGGTGGCTCGTTATATCATTCTAGTGTAGGTGACACATTAATCAGTCCTGTCCCTGCAGCCTCTTTGCTATCAAAAAAATGCTCATATTTAATAACAAGCTAGATATTGGTGATGTTATTAGTATTGCAACTAATATCGTTTCTTGTATGTGTAAAATTCCCTCTAATGCTTGGTTTTCGTGTCTATGCTGCTGTTCATGTAAATTTACATGCAAATCCATCCTTGCTGTTTGTCATCCATACAAGCTAATTGACATATTTCCTTCCAAAATATTTGCATAAACCTACTGTAAACATGTATTTTCCTTTTTTTCCCCTCACAAAATCATTAAATATCTGCACAAGCTTAATATTTAGACATTTTAGAAAGTTTTCCAGAACTTTCATTGCTGCTACAAGTCAGGACAAGTATTTCAGGAGGACTTGTTTTCACAGTTTTAGTACCCCCCTGAAGCACTCTAGACTAAAACTGCTTGAGGTAGTCCTGCACATACAATCAGGTACTTTATTATAGCTGAGCTCCCCTGAAGGAACACAAACACCAAGGTTATTTATATTCAGCCAAACCACTGCCGTGTACTGTTTCTATTTTTGCACACAAGTACAACTGATGTGAGCCAAAACTTTACAGAAATGTCTCCCCACCGACTTGTAAATGGATGCACGGTAAACCTTCCTCAATTTGAATTATGATTCGTCTCAAATGTCGATTGGCACAGAACCTTGTTTGCATATTTCCTCGTGTTAAAAAAACGGAGTCAGTTACGTCTTTCGCTCGTCACAGGCTTGAGGATGTTCGTCAAAATAGAAATGTTACGCAGGTGAGTTGCAGCTTCACTGATTCACTAACAAAACAAACTTTTTTTTTAAACTTTTGTAATACAAGGAAGAGTTAGGTTTTATCTCTTTCATATCTGCTTGCTCACTCTCATACGAAATTCCCAGACAAAATCAATGGATGCGTACACATGGGGCGTTAACACAAGAGTCTGCTTTGATTAATAAGTAAAGAATGAGTTGCCAAACCTGGCAGTGGTTGCAGTTTTGCTAAATAATTTCTGTTGTAACATCTTAGAAAGCTTCATTGTGAACTGCTGCAGGTCCTCACAACTTTCTACTCAAGAAACTAATTTGTACTTGAGTTAAAATTGCATTTTTACTTTACCTTTTCGTACTTACAACTTTGATTTGACACATCAGGTACAGTGAAGGATTGTTCAGGGTCATAAAGGAGGTATTCTGTTGCCTATCTTGTTCGTCATCTTGACGTGAGAGGCCCAGTGATGAAATTTACTGTTTTTCTTTGGTGCAGTTCGTCTGCTTGTTCCACTTCCAGGAATTTAAGGTTTTATCCTCTTTGAGAATAGTTAGCATCACTGTATTTTGAAGAGAAATTCAAAGAAACAACATGCCTGTGACTTGATCTTGTGTATGAAAAGACATGACATTCTTCTAGCCTCTGTTTTTATGTTGATGGTGGATTCAGATTAACATCTTGTTTATGTTTGTCTCTCCTCCCCGAGCATGATTTCACCTTTTACCTTGTTTTGTGCTGCAGTGGAAGAATTTTGTCTCTGGCGATCAGCGCTGGTGTTACACACAAGCAGCACAAACTCCCAGGAATAAAGTAGTTTATCGCAAAGTTCATGGAAAACCATTGTAGTTCAAAGCCTTCTGTTATATAATTACTGAACTTCAAGAATCAAAAAATGTGAACACAGAATTTTAGGGTTTTTTTGTCCATGTTTTTAATTTGTGTTGAATATTTGTTTGAGCTTTAACCATAAAAGCCAGTAAATGAAATTTGATTTAGGATGTGTAATTCACCCTTTATTGCTTCTAACTGTCAAACTGTTCAAAGACATACACTCACCCTCACTCACTCACCCACACAAGTGCACACAGTGTGAGAATTAAGATATATTGTTAAAAATATATTGTTTAAGAAACAGGCCTGACACAGAGACAATACGTGAGGAAAGTGCTACCTCTGGGAAACACTGGCGATAAAAATAAAAATGGTAAAAAGAAAGAGTAAAACCTGATGGATTAAAACAAAAAAATAATATTAAATGAGCAGGTAAGTAAGAGCTCTTTACTATATAAAAAGGGGTAAAAGAAGTAAAAACCTATGACGGGAATTAAGAAATAGACTAAGAACAGAGATAGTTATTAAAATGAGATAAAATAAACAAGAGCTTTGATTAAAATGAACATTTGCAATAAGAGAAATATAAAAAGGCAATTAGTGAAAAGCCTGCTAAAAGCCATACTAAAACTCGTATGTTTGAAAAATGAAAAACTGTATTTATCTGAGGCTGTGAGACTTGCTAAGTGCTTGAATGTTATTATGATCTGCTGTGTTCACACTTCTACTCCACTTCTGTCAATCCAGGTAGAGCAAGCGAAAGAGCCTTCAGTACTGTACAGCTTCCTGTGTGTCTAATGCTCTTAAATTACATTTTCAGACACCCAGAGTAATCACCATTTCCCCCATTTTCAGATTCTTGTTTATAAGACCCCCTTGCTCACCCCTCCCTATGGTGGCCCTCCAGGATAAGAAGCTCTTGTGGTACTTGAAAAGTATGATCCTGAATTATTCAAGTTTTAACCACCAAAAACTACGAATATGAGTCTATTTGTACAAAACCACAACTCTTTTTTCATCTTCAACTGGTGTATTTATGCAACCACTCACTACATACAAAAAAACATTAAAGCTCCTGTGAGGAACTTTACAGTTTGTGACAATTTAGGCACTCCCTGTGGACAGACCCTGTTCCTTACATGCTTATGTAAAGTCTAATGACAAAAAATATCTAATTCTGCTGACTTTTGATGGTGAAATGTATCATTCATTGTGAATATTTGAAGTAGAAACTGCAAACACAGGCCAACATCCTTGCGGTAGTTTAAGGCATTTAAAATGACAGTGTACAAACTGTCAATCTTGTCCTTGATTGTTTTGTTTGCTTTTGGATATCATGAAAAGACATTGTTATGAGTTTCAGCCTGTTATATAAATATAAAGACATCCCCTCATCACTACTTTGAAATAGATTTTTAGTCGCTAAAATAACCAGATACTTGTTGCTTTGACTTTGACTTAGATTTGACTTAAAAAATTATCAGTAACAAGTGAAAGAACATGTTTTTTCCCAAACCTGCTTGAACTCACCATGTCCCTCATTTTTACAGTTTGTTCTGCAGTCCTTTCATTCACCAGCTGACCAAATCTGATCCTTCCCGAGAGTACATTTATATTTTTCCACCACTAGATGTCAGTTTTGTGCATTTATTCATCCCTAGGTCCTGGACTTTCTCAGCCTGCTGTGCCTGTAGGGCTGAAATCTGCCCCTGTACTTGTACATACAGAGGGGGGAATATTTGTGTTACAGGGAGCTGCTGCAGGCCTGAGGTGAAAAAACACAGAACAAGACGTATTGTGTCTCCGGTGATGGAGCGTAGGTGGAGCTTCATGCAGCTGTGTGGGCAGCAGGTACATTGTGTAGCAGAGAACTGTTTGAGCAACTGATAACAGCGGGGAGTCAACTTGTGAACATGTTGAAATGATTTTCTTGTGTTTTGGTTCACTTTCAATCTGAAGAAACATGTTTTCTTTTTCTTTCTGGGAATCCTGATATCAATTTTCCTCTGCCTGTCAGTAGATTTCCGTCGTTTAGCCTTATGACCTGAACAGGAGGGAACACTGTTGCACAACACCTCTTGAAGTGAGAAAACACTGATGTTGTTTGCATCCAGTGTGCACCGTACCTGTGTCTTACTGTGGAGAAGTGGGTATTCATTAGGGTGAGTGTAAATGTACTAGTGTACAATTTTCTGGCAAAAAGGAAACTGTAAGAGCCTCTCTTGTCCTGAACAGCCATGACTGTTGCAAAATACAGTGTGAGCTACAATCCCTCCCTGAGAGAGACCCAGGAATACCAACCTCTCTCTCTCCCCCCGTGCTTCCTTTTTGCCCTCCTCCCCTCCCCCCTCCAGAGTGGCCGGATCAGCCTCAGCTTTCTAATCTCCATCTCTGGCCTTCGAAACACTGGGCTCGTTGTTGACATGCTGGCCTCATACCCCACAGGGGCTGACAAATTATTAGCCAGCCTCTGTGTGCAGAGTGAGGACAGCCAGCTTAGCCAGGCAGCAGAACACTAAAACTGAGCTGCAATGAGATATGAAACCATCTGTCCTGATCTGCTCTGTGGCAATGATGCAGAGGGAAATAATGTGGGAAAGACAGGATCCTGTTGCACAGCGGTGGCGTGGGTGGCTGGTCAAAGTTGACCGAGCTGAAGTGGTGTAACGCCGCTCACTTTACAACACTGTGCAGAAAAGCGTGTGTGCAGCCTCAATGTGTCGTGTGGAGGTGTTTTTACCTCACCCTTAAGGGTTAAATAAAGGATCCATCCTCCCCCTCTCAGCAGTAAAACTTGTTCTTCTTCGTGTCTTCAGCCTGTGTGCGTATGTGTGTTTGCGTTTATGTGTGTGTGTGTGTGTGTCTCACAAATGTGTTGCAACTTCGTTTGTACATATGTTCACATGTGCAGGGCTATATAAACAATGGAAGACATTTTTGTGTATTGTTTATTGTACTTTAAGTCAGAGGACTTTTCAGGCCACTGCTTTGTTTCTCGTCTGCAAATATTTCAAACTACTTCAAGTTTAAGTGTCGTATTTATTTGACAAAGAAGAGAGATTGTGCCAAATGTAGCATAAAAACGACTTATTAATTTGCCAAATCGTCGTGTTTTTAGCCCCGACCAAATATTAATACCAGCACTCTGGAGTGACCACCATGTGGGTCAGCTCATT